TTCGCCTACTTATTTTCTGGCCTATACACCATGGAAAATGGTTAGTTTGCTTTTGTTATTCTTTAAAAATTAAAAACATATTTCTATTGATTTCAGAGAGGAAGAAAAAGGGAGAGATAGAAACATCAAGGATAAGAGAGAATCATTGATTGGCTGCTTCCTGCACACCCTGTACTAGGGATCGAGCCTGCAACCCGGGCATGTGCCCTTGACCGAAATTGAACCCAGGACCTTTCAGTGCACAGGCCAATCCTCTATCCACTGAGCCAAACCGGCTAGGCAGCTTTTGTTATTCTTGATCTGTACATTAAAAACTAGCTGAAATGAGAGTTGGTAAAGATTTAGTGAACTGATAGAAAATATTTCTATTATTTGCTAGAACTATCTGAGTGTAAATAAAAAATAAATAAAAAATTTTAAAAAAATTACCTAAAAACAAAATGAGAATCGTAATCAAATGTGTATTTCTTTCCTGTAGAGCCTCTGTTATGCACCTAAAGCCATATTGGAATCTGCAGAAGAAAGCACAACCTCTTCACATTAGCAAGGAAACTCTGAGAACTTCCATGAGCCACCAAGAGGCTATAAATGACGAAAAATGCAAAGCTAACTACATGAAATCAAGTGTCTTTCCTTCCACCTCTCCTGGAAAAGCATCATCTCGCAAGCCTTTTGGGGTCCTTTCTCCAAATGTTCTGTGCAGCATGAGTGGGAAGAGTCCTGTAGAGAGCAGCTTGAATGTTAAAACCAAGAAGAATGCACCATCTGCCACAATCCACCAGGGCGAAGAAGGGGAAGGGCCGCTTGATATTTGGGCTGTGGTGAAACCGGGAAATACCAAGGAGAAAATCGCATTTTTTGCAGCCCACCAGTGTAGCAATAGGATAGGATCTATGAAAATAAAAAGCTCCTGGGATATTGATGGGAGAGCTACTAAAAGAAGAAAAAAATCAGGGGATCTTAAAGCCAAGATACAGTTAGAAAGGATGAGGGAAATGAACAGCAGGTGCTATGAGCCTGAGCCTTTTGCGTGTGGCATCGAGCACTGCTCTGTGCATTACGTGAGTGACAGTGGGGACAGTGTGTGTGCTGGGAGGCCTCTGTCGGTCATACAGATGGTTGCCTTCCTGGAGCAAAGAGCCAGTGCTGCTCTGCTGGCCAGTTGTGCGAAAAACTGCACCACCTCACCTGCCGGGGGGAGGAGTTCTGGGCAGTCCAGAGGTGGGCCTCCAGCCTCGGAGCCCTTTTCTGCCCCAGGAGCTTGTGAAGAACCCACGGAAAGGGGAAACCCTGAAGTTGGTGATGCCCAGAGTGAGCCGGTCCGCGTCCTCGACATGGTAGCCCGGCTGGAGTCTGAGTGCCTGAAGCGGCAGAGCCAGAGCGAGCCTGGGAGCCTCTCGAGGAACAACAGCTTCCGTCGGAATGTAGGCCGGGTGCTACTTGCAAACGGCACTCAGGCCGATGAAGGCAAAACAAACAAAGGCGCTTTGGAGGCCCCTGCGTCAGTGGACTGTGGCCCGTCAAGAGCTGACCATGGTTCTGCGGAGGGGAAGCAGGCCTGGGGTGGGGCTCCTCCGGGCTGTCCCTCATTGCCAGCAGGGGTGAGTTTCCACGCGGAGAGTGCGGCAACAGAGCCAGCCCAGCACCCTGCTGTGAAAAACAGCAACAGGTGTGACATAGAAATGACAGAGGAGCCTGAGCCACCTTTCCCTCCTCGAACCTGTCCCCAAACCACTGAGCTGCCCACAAAGGCTGTTGATTGTATGAGTCGGGAAGAGCTTGTGCCACAAAATCCTGATCCGCGAAGAAGAGAATCTGTGTGCATTAGCATCACTGTGTCCAAGGTGGAGAGAGACCAGCCTTCTCGTTTAAAGTCCTGTGGAGACCCACTTCCAGGGAGGCTGTTCTTTTTGCTGCCTGGTCAGCAGCAGTCAGACTGTTCCCAGATGAATGAAAGCACAACCCGAGAGTCTCCAGAGGCCAGCCAGCCTGAAGATGCTGCTGAGGGTGACAGTGCATCTGAGGGAAACACTGTTCCAGCCGATTCGCTCGTCCCAGTGCCCGCCCCTCCTGTGGAAAGTACAGTCCCAGTGCTCGAGGCCGCCAGTTGGAAGAAGCAGGTGTCCCATGACTTTCTGGAGACCAGATTTAAAATCCAGCAGCTCTTAGAACCTCAGCAGTACATGGCTTTCCTGCCCCACCACATTATGGTGAAAATCTTCAGGTTACTCCCCACCAAGAGTTTAGTGGCTCTTAAATGTACCTGCTGCTATTTCAAGTTCATCATTGAGTACTACAACATCAGGCCAGCAGATTCTCGCTGGGTTCGAGACCCACGCTATAGAGAGGACCCTTGTAAGCAGTGCAAGAAAAAATACGTGAAGGGGGATGTGTCCCTGTGCCGGTGGCATCCCAAGCCCTATTGCCAGGCATTGCCTTACGGGCCAGGATACTGGATGTGTTGCCATCGCTCTCAGAAAGGCTTCCCTGGCTGTAAGCTGGGGCTTCATGACAATCACTGGGTCCCTGCTTGCCACAGCTTTAATCGGGCAATCCATAAGAAAGCAAAAGGGACTGAAACTGAAGAGGAATACTAAAGTCTCTGGGAGAGGTGACCGAATGGCTGATTTTTAGTACTGGGAACCACCACCTAGACTCACTGCTCAAGTGCGTGTTGCCTCTCAGAGCGTCGCTAGGAGAATCTGTACCGGTTCCTTCAGGACTGCTGTTGCTCGGGCATTTTTTTCATTTACAAGCTGTACAAGAAAACTGGTCTCATTGTTTTACAGTGTCGCCTCCTCTTTGACCCAGGGTGAAAGCCCAGGCTGATTCAGTTGGCTGTGAATAATTATGCCTGTTTTCCCAAACAAATCCATCCTCAGAGGACGAAGACTTGCCATCATCAAGGACGGACAGAAAAGTTCACTGCAGATTGTGCTGGCATCCCCAAAAAGGGGTTCCAGAAATTTCTGAGCACTGGCGGACACCGTATTTGAAATAAGTGAGTAGTGTCCTGTGGAAAGAAGAGCAGCAGTCATGGATGAAAAGGATGCTTATGAAGGAGAGTCAGGCACCTTACCTTAGGCCTTGTATGCTTGATCCTGTGAGATTGATGGTTGTGGATGGAGATGGATTTCATGCCCTGTGGTGTTTACAGTGTATATAATGGTGGTGTTTTCACAGGGCTGTGAAAGTGCACATTAAACCCGAGCGCCTTGACCGTAGATGAGTGCTTTTGGCCCCTCTGTATATAACATGATTAAAATCCATTTGTGTGTAGTGGACACCGATGGAATATCATCACCACAATGCAGCTAGGATAGTGTTGCGGCTATAATTGTGTGTGTGTGTTTTTTTATTGTTTCAAATGTGTATATCCTGTATAAAATATGAATGTTTTGAAAATAAACTATGAATGTTTCCTGTATAATATATGAATGTTTCTGATAAGAAATTCTAAATAGCTAAGAGTACCTGTTGAAAAGATACCAAATAATGGTTTAACTGGACAACCTTAAAATTAGCATAGAGAACAATCCTACGTTATATTTTAGTGATTCAACAAGATTGAGAGATTATATAGTAAGATTATAACATTCTTGTCTACTTTATTCTGTCTGGTTACAAATTTTTTTTAATTTCAATAAAAACATGCATCTTAAATGGGACCTGAGTTGCAGATTTTTTCCCCTCCCTTTTTCAAGTAACAAAAAAGGATATTGAAAATTGAGTTGTAAGAATTAAAATTATTTAAATTATTGTATGGGGGGAGGGAGAATTTTTTTCTGCTGTTGAAAAGAGACCATCTGTATATAAAAAGCCAGTGACCGTAATGCTGGAACGACCGGTTACTATGACACCCACTGCAGCCAGCGAACCGGCGATCAGGGGTGGAGCCAGCTGGCCAACCCCCTCCCCTCGCAGCCCTTTCCCCTAGCCAGCCCTGCCCCTGATCAGCCTGCAGCCCTCTGCCCCTGGTTGGCCCCTCTCCTGATCACCCCCACCCCCCAATTCCAATAGGGGTGGGGCTGTCTGGCCAACCTCCTGCAGCCCCTCCCCTACCGGGCCCCACCCCAGATAGTCCCCCCCACACTCTAATCAGGGGAATGGCCAGCCAGCCAACCCCCCACAGCCCCTCGCCCAGGCCGCAGGCCCCCTTCGGTCTCCCCACCCCATTTTGGGATGGGGCCAGCTGGCCCACAGCCTCTCCCCACGGCCAGCCCCACCCCTGATTAGCCCCTACCACCCCCTTCAGCCTGTGGCCCCTCACCCCAGCCAGCTCCACCCCCGATTGGCCCTCCCAGACACCAACCGGGGGTGGGGCTGGCCGGCCAACCTCCCTCCGTCTCTTCCGACCCTGATCCATCTTATTTGAGGCCAGGCTGACCTGACCCCACCTATGCATGAATTCGTGCACTGGGCCTCTGGTTTTAACATAACAAACTTACATTTTTACAACACTTACTTTGAGTTCGTCATCTGCCCATCAACCACTGTATTTCCTGTTGGATGAGGTATTATCTGACATTCTTACAACTTGTCTGGGCTTAATTAGTTAATTGTTCAGAAGCCAGTCAGATGTATTTAGGCCTGTGATCATGTACTGCTAGTTGGGGCTGGGAAGTTTGGGCCCCAGACAGCAGCTGTGGAGGATCTAAAAATTGGTTGGCTTGAAATCACCCACCAAAAAAACCTTCCAACCTCTGTAAGCTCCAGGCTATGGAAAAGTGAGAAATGACCCAGGGGAGGGGCTGATCGGGAAGTGATGAGTGAGGGCTGTACTGTGATGGTCCCAAAAGAGAACGATGGAAAGGCTGAGTAGGTGTTGGCCAGGTCTGCCAAGCAGCACCGGAGCCAGGTGGAGCAGGAGCCACCTGTGGCGGAGACTTTGGTTTCTCTGCCCTTATCCTTAGGCAGTTTCTGTTCCTCCCTGAACTAAAGTGTTTCTTGATGCTGAGCAGGTCTTCCCTGTTAGACACCTAATAATGACACTTCTGATAAGCTGGATCCTGCAGGCTCACTGACTATGACAGGACTGAGGAGAGGCTGGGAACACTCCTTCTCTGGCCTTTGGGCCACTCAGGAGGCCTTTGTGACACCTGTCCTTGCCCCGTGGGAAGCCCCTGCTGATGTCCACACACCGGAGGGACGGCTGCACTGGCACCACAGTCTGCCTTTGGGCATCGGCAGTGAGAATGAGAAGAATTTTACAAACCCCAGAACCCAAGATACTTCAGGGGTAGGTCAGGGTCAAGAGTATAAAACTAAGCAAGGCACAGAACCTTTCTTGGCTTGAAGAAGGATCATTTTGTGTTTGGGATCAGATTATTTGACCAGCTCTTAGGAATCAGGAAACCTAGTCTGACCCAACCGAACCTCCACTGAACCAGCCCCTCCCGCAGAGGTGTGGGGATTTGGGGCTGATAAGCTCCATGCTGTGTCACGGCCCGTCTCTTATCGAGGTTACAGCTTTGCCAACGTGGCTGTTTCTGTTTTCATCTTCCCACTGGGTTTTAGTAAAGTTAATGGTGAGGGTCTTTCCTCCTGACTCACCCCAGCTGAGGTATGTTGGAAATGCTTTTTTTCTTTTAATTAAAAATACTTTTCTTTCAATTACACTTAATATACACTATTACATTAGTTTCCAGTATAAAACATGGTGGTTAGATATTTATATAGCTTATGAAGTTATATATGACATTTATATGACTAGGAATGTTGGAAATGCCTTTCAGCCGGAGTCCCCTAGGCTGAAGTTTCCAGTGTTTGTCCTTCCCTGTGGTTTGCTCTAAACCAGCAATCTCAGTGGACCTTCCTGTTAGGTTTGTTGTGATTCCGAATGTAGGATTAAAGGAGACACGCACATACAGGACTTACAGTACAGTTCAGTGTATGGTAAGTGCCCAGCAAGTTAGCTATCATTGTTGGCTCAGGCTGGACACACAGGATAAATAACACTCTTGCTTGGTTTTTCCCCGACTCAAGCCATTCCAGATCTGGTTTTCACATGGGACACAAGCTGTGACTGAGGAGCTGACCTGACCCGGAGCAGAGGACACGGTAAGGACATGGCATGCCCTTCTCCCTTTCGAATGATGTGGCAGGACCCAGTTCCCAGTGCTCTGTGTGCACCACAGAGGGTTTTAGCAGGTGGGATCAAAGGGTAGCCCCTCCCTGGTCTTCAGTTCTCCCCTGAAAAAGATGCTGTGCTTCAGAGCCCCCTAGTGCCAAGCTGGGGGAACTGGCCCAGTTTTTATTTTCTTCAATGGTCACAGGCTACCTCCTTCCTACACCTTGCTGTAGATTTTAGACTTGTACGAGTCAACAATGGCCCTGACCGGTTTGGCTCAGTGGATAGAGTGTTGGCATGCGGATGCAATGGCCCCAGGTTTGATTGCAGTCAAGGGCATGTACCTTGGTTGTAGGCACATCCCCAGTGGGGGGTGTGCAGAAGGCAGCTAATGATGTTTCTCTTATCAGTGTTTCTAACTCTCCCTCTCCCTTTCTCTCTAAAAACATCAATAAAATGTATTTTTTTTAAAATATTTTATTGATTTTGTACAGAGAGGAAGGGAACCTCGATGAGAGAGAGTCATCGATCAGCTGCCTCTTGCACACCCCCTACTGGGGATATGCCCGCAACCAAGGTACATGCCCTTGACCGGAATTGAACCCGGGACCTTTCAGTCCCCAAGCCGACGCTCTATCCATTGAGCCAAACCAGTTCCGGCTGTATTTTTTTTAAAGAGTAAATGTGGAAATCAGGATCCTAGCCCTTCTCCCTTCCCCACTCAAAGAAAACTTCCCCTTAGCTTTTGCTCAGAGGCTCTGATCCACTTGGCCTAGTTTTTATCTCCTATCCCTCACTTCACCATTTAGAAGAAAAAAACAGGATTCAGAGAAATCTGGGAGAATCGGAGAGCATCTCCCCCATCTCTGGGCAGTTTGACTTTGTCCCTTGCCCAGGGGAGGAGGTAGCCAAGGAAGAAATGAATTGGAAATGGACAAAGGGCTAAGATTGAATTTCCCGGCCTTGTTAAAATGACTGGCTTTAAACTAGCCCTACTGGGTTGTGCCCGCAGCCAAAGTACATGCCCTTGGCCAGAATCGAAGCTGGAACTTTTCAGTCTGCAGGCCGACGCTCTATCCACTGAGCCAAACCGGTCTCAGATGATTCTTATTGCTCTTTGCCGTTTCCCACCTAGTATAAGAAACCTGAAGGGAGGCTAAAGGGGTCACAGTTGGCCCCATGGGAACCTTCTTAGTTAGGGATGCTCCACGGCAGCCGAGGACTTTTGGAAGTAAGTCAGTGTGCATTTGGTGTGATCTGGGTTTTATTGTTGCCTGGGACTCCCCTGGCGGCTGGCTCCTTTGGGCGAACTGCAGAAGGTGAGGGTTGGAGATCCCTTCCTGGGCTCTATCCAGCCCTCCTCCCCTTCTAACTGGAACTTTTCAGGGCCTCCCTGCCAACTTGTTTGGATTGACTTCGAACACTTACTACATGGCCATTCCCAGCCATTTTCCAGGGCTTTAGTTGCCTTCATTCCTTCTTCACTCAGTTGACCGGCTATTCACCCTCTCTTTCATCCCATAGCCTGCCACATACGACAGAATAAAGCCACCCTGCACCAACACCCTTGTTGCCACATGCCGTAAACTGCACCAATAAGAGCTGGTGTTATCTAGCTCTCAGGATCTGTAAGGGACCACATTCCTTTAAGTGCATTCTCTGCTGTGCTCAGCACCCCACATGACACTCTGGGAATCTGATAGCTTCTAATCCGTTTTCCTTTGGGTTCAGACAAGCTAGTGTTGCAATCTCTGTGAGTTGGTGAAAGTACCTGTGTGGGAAATGTGCAATCCCTTGTGTTGACATGCACACCATTCCTAAATTTGTGGCCACAGCTGGTGTTTGCACAACCTCATGGGAAGAATAAATATCACAGTGGTTATGCACCCTTGGGTGACATCCAGTGTATTTATAGCTAATACGCAGTATTCTTTGGCTTAAGGAAGACCAGTTAGGCAGCACCCCAATTTTAGATGGCTTATTTGACCTTAGTGTTATTTTAGAGGAACAGAGCCTCTTGAGTTAGTGGCTGGGAGCAGAGTGATGGCAGACATGCACTGCAATGACCCCTTCAAAGGCCCACACCCACTCTTTAATTAGCAGGGAACAGACATCAGAACCAATTAATTTTAGGTCTCTTTGTCTCAAATTTTCTGGATTAAGATGGACTATAAGAAAGTTACGAATTACATGGTTCTACTAAATTTTGTTTTTCTCTTTGGAATGATAAAACACAGCAGGGATTAGGTTCTACGGTTAGCAATTTGGGGAATATTATACCACTCAAATTACTCTTGGACATCCTGTGTGTGCATCACCCATGGAGGATGACAGACAGTGGTGGGGAATGTGTAAGAAGTGTAAGATGGGCCACTCACTCCTGCAGAGTGACAAGCGGTGTGCAGAAACACACTCGGGGAGCAACAGACCCCACCGCCAGTTAACCGACATAGAATCACCTGTGCTATTTAAATTATTTCCCTCCTACCTGACCCACCCCCTTTAGAGAATCAAACAGTTTTTTACAAACTGGAATTTTCAGATGTCTGTTAAGTAGTATAAAGAAACTGATACAGTTCTTTACATAAATAAATAAAAAAGTGTGCAAATTTATTTGCCAGATGGCAGTAAAATTCTTTTTACAGAGAGGAGAGAGGGATAGAGAGCTAGAAACGTTGATGACAGAGAAACATCGACCAGCTGCCTCTTGCACACCCCCTACCGGGGATGTGCCCGCAACCAATGTACATGTCCTTGACCAGAATCGAACCTGGGACCTTTCAGTCCCCAGACTGACACTCTACCACTGAGCCAAACCGGTGTCGGCCGCCAGTAAAATTCTTAATTGGATTTTAAGTTATTGGTGTTGAGTTGTATGAGTCCTTTATTTAATTTAGATATTAGCCTCTTATTGGAAATATCATTTACAAATATCTTCCATTTCATTGGTTGACTTTTTGTTCTGTTGATGGTTTCTTTTGCTGTGCAGAAGTTTTTTATTTTCGCCTTTATTCCTCTTGCCTTGAAGTTCACAGAACACCTCAGAAACCAAGGTCCATAAATTTAGTGCCTGTGTTTTCTTCTATGTATTTCATTGTTTTAGGTCTCACATTCAAGACTTCAATCCATTTTGAGTAAATTTTTGCATATAGTATAGGATAGTAGTCTAGTTTCTCGTTTGAATGTGGCTGTCGTTTTCCAACACCCATTTATTGAAGAGGCTTTCCTTTTGCTCTTGTGTAATCTGGCTCCTTTGTTGAAAAGTAGTTGCTCATATATATGTGTGTGTGTTTATTTCTGGGCTCTCAATTTTGTCTCATTGGTCTATATATCTTTTTCTGCCAATACTATAGTGTTTTAACTTAAGCTTTGTTCTTTTTTAAAAATTGCTTTAGCTATTTGGGGTCTTTTGTGGCTCTACACAAACTTTAAAATTTTCTATTCAATATATGTGAAAAATGCTATGGGGATTCTGATAGGAATTGTATTGAATATGTAGATTTCTTTTGGTAATATGGACATTTTAGTTAATTCCTTTTTCCCCCCAATTACAGTTTACATTGTTTTATTTTATATTGGTTTTCTATGTTCCGAATACTGGTTAGACAATTATATACTTTATAAAGGGGTCACCACCCAGTGTTTCCAGTACCCACCTGTCACCATTCATAGTTATTACAATATTGACTATATTCCCTATGGTGTACTTTATATCCCTGTGACTATTTTGTAACTACCGATTTGTACTTCTTAATCCCTTCACCTTTTTCACCCAGCCTCCCAACTACCTTAGTTTGTTCTCAGAATCTATGAGTCTATTTCTGCTTGTGTGTGCATTTATTTTGTTTTTTAGGTTCTATATATAAGTGAAACCAAAAGTTATTTGTCTTTCTCTGACTTATTTCACTTAGCACAGCTGTGGATTTACTCATGCTGTTGCAAATGCTAAGATTTCATTCTTATGGCCAAGTAATATTCCACTGTATATGTGCACCACCATTTTTATCATTTCATCTATTGGTTAAGTTACCTGGGTTGCTTCCGTATCTTGCCTATTATTAATAACTAGTAGCCCTGCACACGAATCCGTGTGCTGGTAGCTTGCTGCTGCCCTCCTGTAGCTCTCTGCCCGCTGCCCACCCTCCTCCTTCCCTCCCCCGTCATAGCTTGCTGCCCTGCACCCCCCTGTAGCTCTCTGCGCCTCCCCCCCCTGTAGTTTGCTGCCTCATCTTTCTACAGATCCTCGATCCGGTTACATGGTCAGTTGTTACATCTCACAGTGTAACCAATAATTAGCATATTCCTCTTTTTATATAGGATGCTGCAATGAACATGGAGGTGCATATATTCTTTTGCATTACTGTTTTGGATTTCTTTGGATATGTACTCAGAAATGGAATCCCTGTTTCCTAAGGCAGTTTCAGTTTTTATTTTGTGAGGAATCTCCCTACTGTTTTCTATAGGGCTACACCAGTCTGCACTCCCACAACAGTGCACGAGGGTTCCCTCTTCTCCACATCCTCACCAACAATTGTTTCTTGATTTATTGGTGATAGCCATTCTGACAGGTATAAGGTGCTCATTGTAGTTTTAATTTGCATTTTTCTGATGATTAGTGATGTTGACCATCTTTTTCATATGTTTATTGGCTGTATGTCCTCTTTGGAGAGTGTCTATTTAGATCCTCTGCCCATTTTTTTAATTGGGTTTGGAAATCTTTCTAAATTTTGAATATTAACCCCTTATATGATGTATCTTTGGCAAACTCCCTTGCTGTGAAAAAAGCTTTTTAGTTTGATGTAGTCCCATTCTTAAAATTTTTTTGTTACCCCTGTAGACATATATCAGAAAAAAATACTGTTAAGAGAAATGTCAGAAATTTTACCGCTTATGATTTCTTCTAGAAGTTTTATGGTTTTGAGTCTTACATTTAAGTTTTTAATCCATTTTTAGTTTATTCTTGTATATCATGTAAGAAAGTGGTTTAGTTTCTTTTTGCATATATTTGTCCATTTTGCCAACACCATTTATTGAATAGACTGTCTTTATCCCATTGTATGCTCTTGCCTCTTTTTTAATATATTCATTGACCATATAGGAATGGGTTTGTTTCCAGGCTCTCTATTTTGTTCTATGTATAGATATGTATGCCTGTTTTTATGCAAGTATCATGCTGTTTTGATTACTACAGCCTTGTAATACAGTTTGATATCATGTAGCATTATACTTCCAACTTTTTTTTCTTTCTCAAAATTATTGTGCCTATGTTTATCTTTGTAGCTGAGATGGGTCTCCTGAAGGCAACATGTAGTTTTTAATCCATCTGGCTACTCTTCCTTTTGACTGCTAAGTTCTGTCCATTTACATTTAAGGTGATTATTGATATGAGAGCTTACTATAGCCATTTTATCTTTTATTTTCTGGTTGTCCTGTGTTTCTGATTGTTTTTGCCCATGTGATTCATTAGGTTTATGTTAAAAAATTTTCACACATAGTCCTTTTTATTCTGATTGTATCTTATCTTTATTTACCTGAGCAAGTTCAGTCCTTTTTCTCTTCCCCTTTAATGTCCTGTTGTCACAAATTATCCCTTTTTATGCTATAAATTAATCCCTCCCTGGGGGACTATTAGAAGATACCATGTCACTGTAGAACAGCAGCATCATGTGATGGCTGCCAAAGAAAAATCCGTCTTTAGAGAAAGTATGTAACTGGTAAGCAACCAGGTTCCAAGCTTCCTAAAGATGTACCGTTATGAATACCACCATGATCAAAAATTTTTTTGAAGTATTAGCAGGCATTTTTCCTTGCTTGGCAAAAAGTCCTTTAAAAAACTATCCTATAAGTTATATAAAATTATCCATGGCTAGATCTCATTAGAATAATTAGTTTGAAAAAGACATACATACTAGCAAAATACTGGTAAAAGGTTTATTGTAATAATACAATAAAAGTTTAGAAAACATTTGTATGACTCAAACTGGTTTGGAAGTTGCAGAGCAATGGGAAATTCCTGCAACATGACACCACGGAAGAGAGTCTCAGACACTGTTCTTTTAACAGCATGCCACCAAATGCTTTTTTCCAAATTACCAACACACGAATCCTTAATGCATCCTGTCTGCTAGACCCAATGCTGACATGTTTTTCGTCTTAATGTACAGATGTGCAAAACTTTTCTTAGTCATACTCCATTACCAAAGTCTTTAGCAGACCATTTTAAGCAGCCTATTGGTGCCTCTGGATTTTTATTAGTATTATTTTGTTTCAACAAATCATTTCAATGTGGAATAAAGGACCAAGGTCTATGGCTTTTTGTTTAAAAATAAAACCAGCTTCAATTTTTTTTTTTTTAAAGCTGTTTACATATGGTTCTGGCACCTACATGAAAGAATTTAATGAGCAGCAAAAAGAATAGAAAAAACAGTGGTTGAAATGTATACTTAAGAATATTTAGAGGGTGGATCCAGTGCAAAATAATGAAAACCAAAATACCTCAGCAGTGTAAGCCAGTATGTTGGTGTTCATAACCACTAAAGGGTTTGATCATTTAACCCTAAGTAAAGTGCCTCTAGTTCATAACAACTAAATATACCCTATCATTCCCTATATTTCCCATATCCTTGCACGGTTTGTTGAATTACTCTAGCTTGTGATCTCTGGATTCTGTTCTTAAGCTTCATCTCACATTCATGGTTTCCAAGAAGCTTACTTAAGAACCATGACTATTGTGCATCTTTCAGCTGAAGTCAAGCTCTACCCTCAAGCCCCAAATCCCAGTTTTTCAGTTCTTGAGACTAAGCTCTTTGTGAGGGCTGGAAGGACCTGGTAAGTCTCACCTCATGGGATTTTCCATTCACTCAGTGTTCGTTAAGTCAACCACTCTATGAATTACAGGCCTGGATGGTACAACACAAGCCCAGCAACATGAAGCTAAGCAGTTAAGAGAGAGCCTGTTTCCCCCTAAAGCGGCAAATTCACATTCAGGGAACTTGGGACTCCTGGGTAGGAATAAACAACCCTCGGCAACTCTACCCCAAACTCTGCCGAACACTAACTATACCAATAGCAAAAGCTAAGTAGCACCTCGGGTTTGGAGGAAAGACCAAGTCTAATAATTACAATGAGAAAAGAAGCTAGGGCAGGGCAAACCCCCAAGAGATTTATCTGAGGTACTATCATGCTAATCACACTAACAAGATATGGTGATAATGCCTGTTAGGAGTTTTTCATAGGATTTCTTTTTGTAGTTACATAGGATTTTTTTTTTGTTGCAGTTATTAAAAATAAACTACTTACATATTTGTACATAATGCCTCTCTACGGTTTTCTTGAAAGATTGTCACTAGAGAATGACAAGAAAATGAGCTGAAAATGGTCTGTTGGTGAGGAAACAGCCTGCCCTGGAGCGGCCCCCACGAGAGGAGACCGGCTGTGACTCCCTCAGCGTCTCTGAGGAAGGTAGTGTCCTTAGAGCAACAAAGCCTTTTAGGAAACAAGCAGGATGGCTTTCCCTGGAAAAACCTGCCACCTACTAAATCCCTCAGGAACAAATTGGACACCTAATACTAAAGGCCACTGTGTGGCTTTTAACCTGTGCCCAGGCAGGCATTTAACTTACATTAGCAAACAACCTTAATGACTTAAATCTTTCACTCATAGAAAATAAGTTTCATTTCAAACTGCACATAGTGTACAATAGATGGTAGGAATTCAATAATCTAGGTAAGAATGAACTAAATTCCACTCAGAATGTAAGAAAATAGGTTTACAATCTCTAGGACATTATTGCAGCTAGAATTTCTCCTGTTCATGGATGTGGGTCCTAAAGAAAAGAGCTTAGTTTCTTTGGTGTGTGGGGAGAAAGAAAAACAGGAATGTCTGCACAAGTGAAATAATTTTTAAACTACTCCCCGCCCCCCCAAAAAATACCACCCTTCCAAACAAAACCAAAATCCTTGACCTAAAAAACAAACATGACCAAATTATACAGAAATCAAGTATCTCAAATTGCCTGCTGGTTCTCTGTACAAAAATGATCGTATAAAAACAAACTCATATTAAACAGTTTTTTATCTTTCAAGTCCTAATCATTAAGAATCAGTTCCATGAGATTCAATCTCTACAACATAAAGTGACAGTAATAGTCTCAGCATCACGAGGACCAGCATGTCGGCCTGTGTCTGAGTACCCCCCTGTGACCAGGGGGAGCCTAGATGAATTTCTGCCTCAACAGAACTGGCCACCTGCACTGGTCCTCCTTCCACCAGCACTAGTCTGCGTAGAAGGACCTTTGACCCCTCTGTTCCATTATCCTCAGCATGTCTGTCACCACCATTGGCCATTTGACAAAGAAATGCCTATCTCTCTGCTTTAAACAACAAAAATAGTTTAGCCTTAGAGAGTTTGGCCTGTGGACTGAAGGGTCTCGGGTTCGAGTCCCGTCAAGGGCACATACCTGGGATGCAGGCTCGAGCCCTAACCCAGACTGGGGCAAGTGCAGGAGGCAACCAATCAATGCATCTTTCTCACATTGATATTTCTTTCTGCCTCTCCCCCCCTCTTCCACTCTAAAAATCAATGGAAAAATGTCCTCGGGTGAGGAGTAACAACATCAAAAAAAAGTTAAACTTTTTGTTCCAGGCATGATCTTACCTAAATACATAGTTAACTAGTTTACTTTCCTGATGCAAATCTGGCACGTCTTGATCCATGCTCGTTAACGGTGTCCAGTGTAAGCTTTAAACCAGGAGGTCACCGAGGCTGCAGCGGAGGAGATCATCCCGCCCGCACTGCTGCTGGCGATGGGCGGGGTGGCCTGGGTGCTCTGGCTCTGGAAGACCTCCACGGGCTGGGAAGGGATGTCACAGAACCGGGGGCTTGGCAAGTTCTCCCAGTCTGTGCCCAAGTCGGTTTCCTCGTCACTTATGTGCTCGTCTCCACTCTCATCTGATTCTCCAGCAACTCCGGGATCCACAAATTCCATGGACTCTTCGAGGTCTGCTCGCACTTCAAAGGGCCCCGACCTGTGTGCCGACAGTGAAGGGTCGCTAAGACACCACCATTCTCACAACTCGTGACAGCAGGTGACAGAAGACCTGCTGGCACAGAGGAGACCCAGAGCTATCACTGCATCCGTTCCCCAAGTCTGCACGGTGTCCACTCACTGTTGGTCTATAATTCAATTTTCTCTATCTAAATAACTGCCATCCAATTAATGAATAATACCACACGTCTCAATTCTACCTACTTTATTTGTGAAGACCCTGGAAGACCATCCATTCTGATCCACAGTAATGATTTTGTTTTAAACAACTGTACTATCTGTACATTCCAATGACACAGTTTTGACAAAAACAGTCACATGATGTATATACTCGGGTATATTAATTAGTGGAACAAGTATCAAATGGAACACAGAGGAAATTAATATGTCCTCTGCCTATGGAAGCCCTCAGTTATTAAACTCAAGACCCAAAGGGGCCAAGTGCTATGCTGTGTACGTGTTAGCAAAGCCTCCTGGGACTGGTGTCAACAGCCGGCTCCAGCACATTTTAAGATCATCACATAATTTTCTAGGGACATGTTTATGGCATAAAATGAGATGTGATTATTTAAGATATATTCATTTAGCATAGGACAGAGCCCTCTAAATGGGGCTGACTCAAGGGCAAGCCCAGAGAAAACTCAGATTCCCCAGGAAGTCCACCCCTAATATAAGATTGCCAGTTTTCCTAAACCTCCATCAACACCGGATATCATGTCCTTTCCTTTTGCTAACCTGAGAGATGAAAAATGGAAACCTGTTTTGCATTGCATTTTTTTTTATTCCTGATTGAGGCTAACCATGTTTTTCATCTGAATTTCTGACTACTTGTATTTCTTTTGTGTGAACTGCCTGCTTGAATACTTTCTATATTTTTTTTTATGAGGTTGCTTGCCTTTCTTTATTGACCTGAAAGATTTAAGGGGTCTAGCTTTTAATCCATTGTCTCTTATAGAGATTGTAAAAGATATCTATTGCTTGCCTTTTAACATTGTTTATGGTATCTTTTACCAGAGACATTTAGAGTTTTTCCATAGTAAAATGTCTAACTCCTTTGCTTCATGGTTTTTGGGTTTTGTGGCTTGCTTGGGAATCCCCTCTCCACCCTAGGATTATAAACACTGCCTTTTCGCCTACTTATAGTTTTTAAAATTAAAGTCCTTATTTCATCTGGAATTAATTTTTTATGTCAAATAAATTCAACATTTTCCCCAGGTGAATACCCAACTGGCCTATCACCTCTGAGCTATTATGATTCAACATGCCACCCTTATCATATATTATATTCCCACATACACAGGGTCTGTTCCTGGACTCTCTTCTATCCCTCTAATTGCTCCACTGATTTGCATGCTAACAGGGTCTTGTTTTAATTACCTTTTTACTATGTTTTAAAAGGGGCCGAGACCATCCCTTATTAATCTAGATGGTGCTTCTGGTTAAACATTAGAGTCAGCCTGTCAGAGTTCCATGAAATATCTGCTAAAATGCTCATCAGGTTTCCTTTTTGGGAGAAGTAGCACTTTTACAATACTGAGTCTTCCTCTCCTAGAGAATCACCACCCTGGCCTTCTTTCATCAGTGCCACACCCCATACAGTGCTGGGCAGACATTCAAAAATTACAAGTTGAATATTTTTTTAAAGTTCCAAAATTTTCTTTACAAAGATTCGCATGTATTTTTTAAGGATTACTTCTCTATAGTTCATAGCTTTTGTTGTTAAAGTAAAAGAGATCTTTTCCCCATTACTTTTTTTTTTTAACAAGTTGTAGTTGGCACATAAGAAAGCAACTGTTTTAATGTATGTTGATCTTAAATTTAGACACCATACAAGCATCATTTCTAATAGCTTCATAGTTCTTTTGGAAATACAGCTTAATCATGCCATCTATAAGAGAGCAGCTTAGTTTCCCTCTTTCCAATATAAATGCACTTATTCCTTGTTTAAAATGCCTCCAGAGCCAAGTTACCACAGCAATGAAAGTAGGGCATCCTTGTTTCTTCTGATGATAGGGCACTGCCCCTAAATATCTATGTGAGCAATATGCCATTAAACACAGCTTTTGCTCAATGGTAGGTATCCTTTATTAATAATCTTTTTAATTTGATAGTGTTCTTTATTAAGGGGAGCTAAATTTTATCCATTGCTTTTCTGGCATCTATATCAGGTTAGTCCTATGTCTTTTTCTTCTTTGGTATGTTAATGTGATAAAGTTACTGTGCGTGGGTAAAAGCATGAGTACCTAGTACTTGGGAGTCGTCAGCCAGATGCGTTGGGACCTGGCTCCACCACTTTTACTGGCTCTGTGACCATGGGCACCAGTTACTTGGCCTGCTAATAAGCCTGTTACCCTTGTGTAAAAGTAAGGATAATAATCCTGGCCTGGCTGCTGAAGCTCAGTTGGGTTAGTCAACCCATGCACCAAAAGGTCACCAGTTTGATTCCCCATGAGGGTACATTGCAGCCTCAATCCCAGTAGGGGGCATGTAGGAGGCAACCAATCGATGTTTCTCTCACATTGATGTTTTTTCTCTCTCCCTTCCTCTCTGAAAAAGTCAATAAAAACATATATTTTGTTTTTTTTGCAAAGAGAGATTTAAGACATGTAAAGTGTTTAGCCCAGTGTCAATCAATATTAGTTCTAATAATAAATTTCCTAACATTGACCAATTTACAAATAAGATACAGAGAGAATAGCAAGCAAACAGGTGGAAATCAACCACTAAAATTGGGATGGATTTCTAAAGGTTTTCTGTGGCTCTTAAATTGATGGAAGGGATTTGGGCTAAGGGGTTTGAAGTCCCTAAACAATGGCAAAACACTCAAGGTGAATGTGTAGTTTCCTGGAGAGAGTCCACAGCTCTTTCCAAAGTTGACTACGGTTGTAGCCAGGGGCAGGGAAGAGGGGAAACATGACAGTGGTTGAAGGCAGAGTGTCACAGAAAGTTTACTGCAATGTGAAGGAAGCCAGGCATCCTGGGCAGTGGAGGGACTCCCCTTGAGCCCTGGTTTGTGTCAAAGCAAATGAATGATGGGAAAGGACCCCACAAGAATTTTCCCCTTTTATTTGTCTTTCAAAAGTGCAAATACAATAGCCAAGCCTTATCTGCAGAAATGAATGGACAGACCTCTAAGAACAAGGAAAAAAGGTAAGCACCTAAAGAGGCTCTTGGATGCGACCAAAGATAAGCCTCATGAGTGCCCTGCTTTTTATGGGCTGAGAAACTGAAAAGACCCCATAGACGGTCCTGATTGGTCTTTTTTTGTTATTGACACCGGTTTTTAAGCTAATGGATTTTAAACTCTTCATCCCATAAACATCTCCTACCCTTTACCCAACCAATGGGGGCCAGATTGACTCGGTGACTAAGAGAGAACTGTGAAGAACTGTATGTGAAGGAATAAGCAGGCACAAAAGAAGATGCACAAGCAACAGGCTAGAGGAGAAACAGATGTGGATTAAAGGAAACAGCGTTTGATCTTCAGGGACAGCACAGGAAAGGCCAGGAACCCTCGGGTTCCTCTGTTTTAGGTGTTAAAAGCTATGAATTTTTGTCCGGTTTGGAGATTTGGGGCTGAGGAATAGGCCTCTCTACACTGCCAACACGAACAGCTCCACTTAAAAGTTATCACAACAGTACCACTCCGAGAAAATCAACAAACACCCTTCTTACCTGCCTAGGTGTTCAGAATTCGGGCTGACCAGGTACATTAGATTCCTGAGGGTATGCAGTGGTTGTAATTGATCTAAATTTACATGCTAGAAAAAAACAAAAAATTGATTACTATTTCCAACCATGTTAAGAAATTAAAAATTAGTTCACAGCACATTTTCCATACCTGAGAAAAGCACAGGTAAAGAATATTCGCATTCAGTTTCTTTACTGCTCGAGTAAATTTCTGTCTGCTGAGATTTTCCCCACAAAATTCACTGTAAAACAAACATGATTTGTAAAGTTGTATTTTCTTGAGGAAATTCTATGTTAAAACGTTCAGTTTGAAGAGTGTGCTTTACACTGCAGTTCAGTATAAAACTTACCCTGAGGCCTGTTAAATGTACTTAGAAACGTTCTAAGAATGAACTATTCCCTTCATGGAACAATTTCACTAAATCTGTAACAATTACAAATACATAGACCCTTTGACTAAGCAATTCCATTTCTGAAAATGTATTCTCCACTAATACTTGCAAACTAAAGGAACAATGAATGTGTAAGATCATCCACAAGTGTCAATAGAGGGCTGTACAATCCGGGGACCCTTACACAAAGGAAACCTCTGCAGCTGCCCACTTTATGCAGGGTGAGTGCGGAAGGCCGCACACCATTTGCACTCCTACCTTCCTCTGTGCTTGCAGCTCTCTCTTCCAGGGCTTTGCAGGCCCTCTCTGCTCACAGCCTCCTTCCCCAGGGTCCACTTGGCTTGTTCCCTTCCTCCCTCAGGTTCACTCATGATCACACACCTGCCCACTCAAACACTGCAAACCCTTCCCTGCCTCCACATCCCCCTTTCCCTCACCCTGCTTGAACCTTCTCCATGACACTTGTCACCATCTGACATCCTGTTTATTTGTCCCTTCGTTAAAGTGAAGGGCCAAAGGGGTAAGGATTATGCTTTCATCACCATTGTGCCTTCTTAGCACCTAGAACAGTGCCTGGCACATAGCAGACAATAAATATTTGTTAAATAAATACAAACTGAAAAAGCAAGGTGTTTAAAACACCTTTGTACGGCATGATACCTTCTGTGTTTAAAAGATGGTAACCATATTTATACTCGCTTGAAATGCAAGGATAACTAAAGGTTGGTAGGAAAGCATTAGTAGGATTTGTATAGACTGTAAACCTTTACTGTTTTTAAATTTTAAACCACATGCTTTTGTTCTAAGAAAATCAAACAGCGTTAGCTGGGTAGCTCAGTTGGTTAGAGCGTTGCTAATTTGATCCCAATGAATTTATAAATCAAGTGAAACAACAAAGTGATGTTTTCTCTCTCAAATCAATTAAAAAAAAAAAAAAAAAACACCAAAAAATTGTCAAGTGTTTACACAGTTCTTGCACATGAGCACACCCTCTGAATATCCTGGGTTTTCCTTCAGTTCTTTTTTCAAGTGGGAGAATTCTCTGTAGTCTTCTCAAACACTTCACATGCAATTGTAAGATAACACCAGTTTGTACCACATGAGGCTTATGGAATTAATCTCAGTATCTATGGTCATTTCCGTCTGAATAACACTTAAATTGTTGATTAAGTTGAACAAATGAGAACACAAAAAGAGCATACGAGATCCACAACGAAGAAGACATCGCTCAATTACTTGCCTGTTGCACAGCTTTTTGGGAAGATTTATGTCGAGTATATGAGACAAAATGTTGGCCAGCTGAGTCGCATAGCACAGCGCAGCGCTGATGGTGTGGGCAGGGTTGTTATGCTCCATGTCTAAAGTGTAAAAACAACCACCACACACTAAACAACATTAATTTCAACAAAAAATACGAATGAACCTACATTTTATGATTTCTAATTTTATCATTACATTCTTATGGTAACGTTTTACTGCTTCCTAATAAAAGGTCCATGTTCCATTGCTATGATTTTCACTGAATGACACCTAAGTAAGTAGGCCCAGCATAAATGACATAAAAGTCCCCACCCACAGCACACTCAGTGCACAATGCTTTTGATGACTGCTTGCTTCCTGTCCTCCCCACAGAAAGGGAAGGCACACATGTCTGGGTGACACCACATGAGTGTCACTAGTACATGACAGAAAGCACATCTCACTAAATATTTGCTGAATGACTAAATGAACAATCTCACCAAAGAAAAGCTACAGGGGGTTAAAGGATTTCTCTACTGTGTATTCAATCTCCATTTAGGAGAGCTAAAACAAGCTCTTTACAAAGTTAAAAACTATGGATGGGACTCAGGCTAACTAGGCCTCTTTAAATAGTGAGGTCTTTTTATGTAAATAAAGCAGTATCAACCCCCAAAAGGTGAAATATCTAAAATATATGTTTCCAGCACATCCACAGATGGTGAAACAGTATGTGGTATATCCATGCAATGGAATGTCATTCAATCATAAAAAGAATGATACATCAACAGTGCTGATACATGCAACAATGTGGATGAAAGCCAAACACAAAAGACCATGCTTTGTATGATCCCATTTATGTGAAATGCCCAGAACAGACACAACTAGAGAAGCAGGGCACAGATCAGTGATTGCCGGGCTCGGCTCCGAGGAGGGCGCTGGGACTGACTGCTTCATGCCCTGGCCTTTCCTGTGGGCTGATGAAAATGTTTGGAACTAGACAGAGGTGATGGTTTTATAGCACTGTCAATGTACTAAATGCCACTTAATTGTTCACAACTGTTCATTTTGTTACATAAATTTTACCTTGATTAAAAAAATACATGTTTATAAAAGTTTCCAAACACTATCTTGCTTCTCACCAGGCCCCTGCGTGGTTTTCTTCTCTTCCACCCAATTGTAGTAGGCAGAGTAGTCCCCGTTGTTGGGAAGGCTGATCCATGGCCCTGTGATGCTGATGCTGGTGTCCCCATTGTGGTCGTCACAGACCCATCTTCCTGAGTGGTACGTCGTCCTCCGGGCTTCAGCAAGCTTGCTCACGGTGCTGGAGGTCATGGCACTGTCACTCTCTGAAGACATATCCGCGGGGTCTCTAAAAACCAGAAGATGCATATGGGTTTCAAGGGACTGGGCTTTAAAGAGCAGGCAACATACTTGCCAGATATACAGAGCCCTGGGAAGCAGCACAGCAGCACAGGAAGTGGCGTGGAACATGCAGAGGTAAGTGACTGCTATCAGAGATGGAGATCAAACCAGCTGTGGCACAGAGTCCATATGGGTGTACGGGGGCACTGTGAGCAAGGGCCTCAAATATCAGGTTCTCCAAAGATTTGGTAGCACTATCCCTTTATATGCTTGGAAATTTCTGGGGGCCCCAAAGAGCTTTTGTGTGTGGGTTAGGTCTATTGAGCTTTACTACATAAGAAATCCGAGAACATTTTAAATTATCAATTCATTCAAAAATAATACTTATTACATGTTAACATATCTGAATTTTTCAAACCAAAAACAGTAAAGAGTCAAATAACACAATACAGCACTGATCAAGATTTTTTTAAAAAAACCTCTATAATACCCAAATATTTCAGTTGTTCTTTCATGTATAATAGTGTCCCATGGAAAAAACAAAACAAAAAAAAACCCTACTGCTTACAATTCATTCAAGTGCTTTTCCTCGAGCCAACCATGGCACATGGGTCTGCAGCAAAAGCAGTTTCTGCACACTTTCCATTTCATCATATGCTATCTTAAAAAGGTGTGTTTGGAGGGCAAGCCAATAAAATTTAAACAAAAATATTTCCTACTTCATCAAGAACATTCTTGTTGCAAAACTGTTTCTTTTTTTAAATATATTTTATTGATTTTTTACAGAGAGGAAGGGAGAGAGACAGAGAGCTAGAAACGTCGATGAGAGAGAAACATCGACCAGTTGCCTCTTGCACACCCACTACTGGGGATGTGCCCGCAACCAAGGTACACGCCCTTGACAGGAATCATACCCGGGACTTTTCAGTCTGCAGACCGACGCTCTAGCACTGAGCCAAACCAGTTTCGGCGCAAAACTTTTTTATCTGAATACTGCAAGTACATGGCAGAATACAATGACTGTTACTGCAGCTTGGTGTCATTGCCCTGAAAAGGTTTTACCCACCATGGCTTTTGAGCCACCAGTGCCAATGTCAACATAGTGAAAAAGGAAAATAAAGTGTTAGTATATTATATAAAAACAGTTTGACTGCATGGAACCCCTGAAAGGGTTACAGGGACCCGGAGCCGTAGACCACACTGGGAGACCTGCTGGTCTGAAGCGTGATGGGAATGAAGTCACAGCAGGCACAAAGGCACAGGAGGGAAGAACACGGTGTGTGGGGAGCAGAGACAGTCAGTGGGGTTGTGTAAATACACAAAGGAAGTGCCAGGAGCCGGTATTAGAAAGGTGGGTAGGAAATGGGAGACTGGGAAGGGCCTTTTGCACTGCACTAAGTTTAGATTCTGTTCTCTTGGCCAGTGGTTCTCGATCCTTTTTCCTTCAGCCACAAAACATATAGCCTAACTCCTAACAGCTATCATGGTTAAAGCTGAGGGTGAGGGGGACCAGGACAGTTTCAAGCTGTAATGCTACTCCCTCTTTCTCCCACTCAAGGAAATTTGAGAAATAAAAATGAACACGAAATCTTATTAAAGGGATAACTTCAAAATCATCAGCTTAAAAAAATTAACAGAATATACTAATATATACTAACAGAAAAGCATAGGTAGAAAAGAGAAAGTTTTCTCTTCTGTGACTTTGTCTACAATTGTGAATCTCCATTCCAATATTGTTGTTGCCATCTACCATAAGATTCATAAAGGAATCAAATCCCCGCAATATTCCTTAGACGTTGCTGCCACCAGTTAATTTCTTGTCCATAAATTCTGTTAACTCAGGAGGGTGAGCTTTGCTCATGTGTCTACTCATCGAGTTCAAAGCTCTCTCCAAAAGGAATCTGTGGCCTCTTTCATGTTCCCATGGCAGGCAATTTAATTTGGCAAAATGTTTGTTTTGTCCAGCTTTTTTACCCGCTTTGGCCTGACTGGCTGTCTTTTGAGGGTCACCATGTACTACTGCTAAGAGTAGCCTGAAGATACCCGGTGCCTGACAACAGCCAGTCAGCAGTGAAAGGCTGTCACCATGTAAGAAACCCCAAGCACCAGGTGCTTTCTTCCACGTTAGTTCCTGACCCTATGTGAAGTAGGCATTTATTACCCCTGACTTTGAGGTTCAAGAACCTGCCTCACAGCATACAACTAATAAACAACCGGACTGGGACTGCGGCTGACACGGCCATCAGGTGGTTTTTTGATCAGGGTGAGTCAGCACCTCCTCGGGAAGCTGTAAGTGTACACAAGCTCCTCCGAGGGCCACCGCCCTTTCCCTTGGCTGCCTCCCCACCTTCATGCAGTGTGCAGTGTTTGCTGAAGCAGATAAGACCTCATTCAGTTTAATTACCAGGAAAGCCAATGGCCCCAGAATGAGGTCAAATAAGTGAGGTGCTGACACACTTAAAAATATTTGATTTTTGGAACCTGATCTAGAGTCAAAAGACTTGCTTACTGTACCTCGCACCAGTCTTCACTTCCTCAATTGGAAAAATGACAGAGGTGAGCTCTAATATATGAGATCGCCGAAGATCTGCCAGACGCTCATAATGACTTTTTAAGTCGATGGTCTTTTTTTCTACTAGGTCCCCAAGTTTGCGGTTATGCCTCTGAATCTTCTCCTTTTTCTCTTGATGCCGTTGTGCTCTAGTATAAAGCTTCTGATTCTTTTCCTTGGTTTTGAGAAGGCCTTCAGAATCTAAAATAAATCAAACTCAACAATTATCTCTACAAATAGTTCCTGGAATCTCTGAACTCCCGTAGGTTGTGAGCCTGGCAACCAGCCTGCATTACGTTCTAAAGAGCAGGGCTCGGGACCCCGGCACACCGTCAGAACCACTGCAGCAGCAGACTCAAAGTGTGGCCTATGCATCTGGGTCCATCTGCAGACTTCTCCCAATCAGACAAGAGATGTACAGAAATATAATACAGACTAAGTTTAGAAAATGTTTTCTTTGACACGGCAATTTGACATTGCTACAACATTCAAGTGTATGAACGCTTTTCTAGTAATTTATTTCATTATACTTTATAAAAGTACTGTTATCAATTTATGACAGATTGGAAATCAAAGAGAAAACTACTGGTCTTTTACTACAGTTTCAGAACCACTGACCCAGTCCCCATGTATGAGTATATTTCTTAAATCCAGGGTGGGTCCCAAGATTCTCTCTCTAGGTTTTAAAAAGGTTCCCAGTTCTCTTTGCCAGGGATGGAAACTACTGTTTTAAGTTCACTGCTTTAGAACCATTCATTTTATTCTCTGTGGCTATTGCTTTTGTATTTTGGTGTGAGGAATCTATGAGCGCTGATCAAAGTTTTAAATTTGCTCACCAGAGAAATGCACAAGGTCAGCAATTTGAGGCGGTTCTCAGATACCTGGTGGCCAAACCCTGGGGTGAACATCACGGACGCGTGGGGCAAGAGTTCACCAGGTTCAAGGTTAAATGACAAGTCCCTACACTGCTGCTGAACCAGAGGCTCTGGAGACTGCGTACCAAACCCAGTGAGCAACTGGCTGTCCGCAGTCCCGGGTGCCCCTTCATCATGCTGCCCTGCTTCTCTCGTTAATCCTGTGAAACTCCACAGAACTGTATGAGGAAAACGTCTTCAAAGGAAGCTTTAACTCCACTATGCTCCCCTTACAAGATACTGCTTCTGAAAGCAATGAATAGGAGAGGGATTCACAAGGTCTGATGGTGACTCATTCTAAACTTTAAACACTGATCTTCAGAAATACACATAATATTTCCAAGGATGTAGGATTTCTAAGCGAACTCTCTTAAATCTTGATAACTACCTATTGATATAGAGTATCAGTAAAAGTATAATGTAACATTAATACAGATTAATGTTACATTATATACACTACATAAAATACATACATAAAATACACTAATGGAGGAAAAAAATATTCTATGCCTCTGGTAGGAACTAATAATTATAAATGGACCAGAGGCCCAGTTCATGAAATTTGTGCACGGGGGTGGAGGGGTTTGTCCCTCAGCCCAGCCTGCACCCTCTCCAATCTGGGAGCCCTCAAGGGATTTCCAACCCCATTTAGGCCCTATCCCATTGCAGTTGGACATCCCTCTCACAATCCAGGACTGCTGGTTCCCAACCGCTCACCTGCTTCTGCCTGCCAGCCTTATCAACACCTAACTGCTCCCAGGCCAGCTCAATTGCCCCTAACTGCCCTTCCCTGCTGGCCCAGTCACCCTTAACTATCCTCCCCTGCAGGCCTGATCCCACCAAACTGCCTTCCCCTGCTCCTGGTTCCCCACCAAGAGTCCTCCTCTGCTGGCCTGGTCACCCCTAACTGCCCACAACTGCCCTCCCCTGCAGGCTATCTCTTGGTGGCCATCTTGTGTCCACATGGGGGCAGCCATCTTTCACCACATGGGGGCGGCCATCTTGTGTCTTGGAGTGATGGTCAATTTGTATATTACTCTTTTATTAGATAGGATTCCAAGTTAGACTCTCAGTCCTCTTAGCTAAGGCAAATGGGAAACATATGTTCCTTAACATTTTTAAAGTGAGAAAGGTAGCCGGTTATTTAAAGGTCTTTATATAAGAATCCCTTACACAAGTGTTTCATAAGGAGAGGAAGGTAAGCAGTAACTTTTCCAGGTTGCTGTTGCCCCTGCTCCTCTCTCTTGCTCTGCCTCTCTAGTTTATTAATCCCATGAATTTCCACAAGAGCTCTTTATTAGGGCTGGAGGGAGGGGGTCCAATTACTTACTTTTCTTCATTTCTTCATTTCCTTTGCATATTGTTTGTTTCAGCTGTTCAATCCTCATCTTGCAGGACATTATTTTCCATCTCTTAAAAAGTATGCAATAAATATCAGAAATTTTGGCCTCATAATTAACATAATTATCTACCCAGTATCACCACTCATTTTTCAGGTATATCTTAGAAAATATAATGAAAACTGTTACATTTATTATAGCTTCTGTAACTACCGTGTTTTTCGGACCATAAGACGCTCCGGACCATAAGACGCACCAGTTTTTAGAGAAGGGAAATGAAGAAAAAAAGATTCTGAAACAAATAGTGTCCTAAAATATTTTATGTGCATTAAAACCCAACATCACAGTCATAAACACATGTAATCAACACTGTAAACAGCAGCATTTAGAACCATTTTAGAGCCGGGCAAGCACACAGAGACCACACAGAGCCAGGCAAGTAAAAAAACTTTTTTTTTAAGGTATATGTGTAGGCTGTATTTGGACCATAAGACGCAGGGACTTTTCCCCCCCACTTCTGGGGGGAAAAAAGTGCGTCTTATGGTCCGAAAAATACGGTATGTCAGATAACCAAAAAGAAAAAAAAACTGTGTTATTATGGCTCAATGCAGAAGCTGTTAGGAAATTAGAGAGAAATTCACAGAGAAAAATGTTGTAGTATATTCTCTTAACATGTTCTGTCCAATATATAGCCACCTGTCACATGTGGCTATTTAAAAGTCAATTAAAATTTCATAAAATAACAAAATTCAGCCTGGCCAGGGTGGATCAGTGGTTGAGCCACATGAACTAGGAGATCAAGGTTTGATTTCCAGTCAGGACACATGTCCAAGTTGCAGGTTCAATCCCTAGGAGGGGGCTTGCAGGAGGCAGCTGATCAATGATACTTTCTCATTATTGATGTTTCTCTTCCTTCCTCTCTCTAAAATCAATAAAAACATATTTTTAAAAATTCAGTTTCTTACACTACCCCTATGTCTTGTGTTCAACACCACATGTGGCTAATGGCTACCATCTATATTGGTCTGCGTAGATATAGAACATTTGCATCATCACAGAAAGTTCTGTTTATGCCCAAAGGATTAACAAAACAAACAAACATAAAATGTTTTCTTTTATGGCTTATCAAGGTTCTCACTCCTAGATCACATAAAAACTTCCCCTATTTTCACATTTTTATGAGTTAACTTTTCACATTTAATCATTACTCCATCTAAAATGTGTGTTTATAATGAGTACGTTTTCTCTAAAAGGATAGTCCATTGTTCTTATATTTCTACTGGAGGCCCGAGGCACGAAATTCGTCAGCCGGCCTGCACCCTCTCGCAATTCAGGACTGCTGGCTCCAACCACTCACCTGCCTGTCTGCTGATCTCCCCTAACCCCTCTGCCTGCCTGCCTGATCACCCCTAACTGCCCTCCCCTGCCAGCCTGATTGCCCCTAACCATCTCTGCCTCAGCCCCCGCCTCTGTGGCTTTGTCCGGAAGGAGGACTAGACGACGGAAGATGTCTGGTTGACCTGGTCTAATTAGCATATTACCCTTTTATTAGTATAGATTGCCACCATCAGACTTCATAACCTTTACAACAGCTCCCTAATGAACTGTCAATATCCCATTTTTGGTAACAATAAAATATCTGAGAAGCCCATACTACAAATATATTCAAAGATGAACAAAAACAAATTTAAACTCACAATGATTTTTTAAGCACCAACTTAAAAACATGTAACCTCAAGTACAAAGAATATTATTTAAATAGTTCTTACAGCTTACCAACTGATCTGTTATCCATTTTCCGTCCATAGCTTTTAAAACTCTGTATGGAGAAGAGAGATACTAAATAAGCCCATAAAAATTAAATTTTATAAAGCTCAAAAATGTAAAATCAACAATTTTTAAACATAACTTCTTATAAATGGCTTGAAATAGCAAAATGGGACTGAAGCACTTAAGTGTTTTCCAAATTCTGTTCTCTGCAATTTTTTCTCACCTCCTTCTTTTTGCCTTAACACAGCCCAGAGCCTTTCTGTAGGCATTAATCATAAACTTCCTTTGTCCTCAGTCATAACTAATAATTCCCATCGTCATAATTAATGATAGTTACAAGAGAATTCATGATTAAAAATGCTAAGATACACAAAGAAAAGGCACAAATATTTGTGCTATGGAGTAAAGTGCTCTGTAAAAACAGAAGTTTCTGCCTGTCCAGTGTGGCTCAGTTGGCTAGAGCACCGTTCTCTACACTGAACGGTTTTGAACCCCGTCCTGGTGTGTGCAGGAAGGCAACTGATCACTGTTTCTTCCCTTTCCATTTGTCTCTTTCTCTTCCCTTCTTTCTTAAAAAAAATAAAAATAAAAAAATAAAAGAATAAGCATGGGGTTAGGGAAGGATTTAAATATATAAATAAATAGTTTCTATGGTTGAATAATTAGAGAAATAACCAAGTTAAATTAATCCAAGCAGGTTTCTCTAATGTGAAGCATCTCAGGCTATTTAATCCACTTATGAATGTGTTCATCTGACCAGAACTGGGTCAGTTTGAGATGGGAGGCTCTGTAGGAAAATTCTCAAATCCAGAGTGAGAGAGATGCGCCAGTGGAGCTACGTAATAACTCAGATTCCAGGCCTCCCGCCAGACCTACTTAATCAGAATAAGAATCTGCATTTTAACCATTATCTCTGTTGATGAATTCTGATATAGATGATCTGCAAAAACATTGGTAAAGCTAAACGGAAGCAATAACAACCTATAGGAGCCACCATCACTAACTTAAGTCTAACATGCCTGCTGTCCTGGACCCATGTGCCTCATACCAATGATCAGGCTGGGGGCTTAATTCATTCATCCTGTCACTAGTGCCTACTGTGCACAGGCACCGAGTCTGATCCCAATATTTTCTAGAAACTGGATAACTCTCCTATTTTGCTTCTCCAAGATGCACTCCTCTTCTGTACGTTCAGATTGCATCCTAGATTTAGTAAGTTAGCAATCCATAACTCTGCACACCACAGCACTGAATTAACCCAATGATGACTGGATAACCTCCACAACTTAAAAAGCCAAATGAAGACTCACTCTTTTTGAAATTCTTCCTGCTTGCTCTTAAGTTGGCTTAACCGTTCCTTCTTGTCTATAAACCTGTAAGGAAAAAAAAAATTAATGTTTTACTTAAATATTTATTTTTTCTTCAGTTCAATCAGATTATATGAACTCTCGGGAAGCCAATCGTGTCTGCAGACTCACCTGGAAATGTCACTGAAAGTAAGTACTGTACACAACTTCTCAATGGGATGCATGTGGCTGCTCACTACTTGGTTATTTTAAAGTTAAATTCAAACTCTCAGCCTCAAAATTCTGTCATGGGTTTATAAAGTATGTCTATAGGTTTCCACCGCTAGGTTAAATTATTTCCAAACACACAAATTAAAGTACTAATGTGAATTTGAATTAAAAAAAAACACACACACACACACACAAAAACTGAGGCTTTTATTACAAAAATTAGAGACCTGATGCACAAAATTCGTGTAAGAGCAGGCCTTCCAAGCCGCAGCACCTGCCTCAATCCTGCGGCTGCAGCCCTGGCTTCATCCAGAAGGTCATCCGGACGGACATTCGGTCGATTTGCATCTTATGCTTTTATTATTATAGATGACTTTTACCCTAGGCAGTTTGGCTCAATGAATAGAGCATTGCCCCACGGACTGAAGGGTCTTGGGTTCATTTCTGATCAAGGGCATGTACTTCCGTTGCAGGCTGGGTCCCTGGCCCAGGCTGGGGCAGGCAACCAACTGATGTATCTCTCTCCCCACCCTCTTCCTCCCATTCTCTCTGAAAATCAATGGAGAAAATATCCTTCGGTGAAGATTAACAACCAAAAAATAACAATTTTAATTATTAAGCTTAATTTAATCCTGCTCTCACCTATCAATTTGTTCCTTATATTTTTAAAGCACAATTTTTTCTCACTTATTTTATTGATAGTAATTTGAAGTTACAAAATTAATAAGTAAAAGCTACCAAGAAGAAGGGATATCATATTGCAATGAATCTCCTCTGTCAGTCTTCTACTCTCATACTTATTATTTTCTTCCTGTTACCTGTTTGGTGTTTAGTTTGCCCCTTTTTTGCAGTTTACGGTAAAAACTCAAATCATTAATTTTATGCCCCCCTCCCTTTTTTAATATAACCATATAAAGTTATAAATTTCCCCCTAAGTATTGTTTTAGCAACACTAAAAATGTTGATGCAGAATATTCAGTTTGAAATTTCTAATTCTCCTTAAGATTCCTCTGACTCACAAGTTATTTACAAGTATATTGTTTAATTTCCAGATATAATGGGCTTTCTTAGTAACTTACTGTTATTATTTTCTTAATTCTGAGGTAGTCAATCTCACAATATACTGTGAGATTTCAATCTTTTGATTTGAGACTGCCTTGAATTTGGTTTGCCTGAGTGAGAGCTCCACGTGCACTTGAAAGAACGTGTACTCCACAGCTGCTGCTGGTACAGTGCTCTATAATGGCAACTAGCTGAAGGTGTCTGTCATTCAGATCTTCTAGATCTGTGCTGTTCAATATGGTAAACACCAGTCACACGTGGCTACTGAACACCTGAAATGTGGCTTGTTGCTTAATAAGGATTTGATTTTAGAATTGCATGACTAACATTGTGCAACTGATTTTCAACCAAGTTAACAGTGGCTCACTATTTTCAAGGAAACAGTGGTGCTACAGCAATATGGCATACAGCCCAAGAACAGGCTTTTGCCCGTCTCCTGAATTTCTAGCCTAAATGAAAGCCATTTAACAGAATAACAGCCCTAAAAATATCTTTCTTACAAGTCTCTCTAAAACACTAGTTTAGTAACACCATGTTTGAAACATACCACCCAAATGGTCTAATTATGACCATTTAATAGCCACTCAAAATGTACAATACATAATATATTAAACAAAAAAGCAAATCAAGCCCAGCCAGTAGTTGAGCATCAACTCATGAACCAGGAGGTCACGGTTCGATTACCTGTCAGGGCACATACGCAGGTTTGGGATTCGATACCCAGTTGGGACCTGTGGCGAGCCAGGGGTGCCTGAAACCAATAAGGGTTTACTCTCATGTTGATGTCTCTCTCTCTCTCTCTTTTTCTCTCTCTCAAATCAATAAAAATATATTTTTTTAAAAATTCAGTTCCTCAGTTGCACTAACCACATTTCAAAAGCCTCAAATGGTTGGCTTCCACCATATTGAAAAGTGTAGAAACAGCCGGAAACCGGTTTGGCTCAGTGGATAGTGCGTCGGCCTGCAGACTAAAAGGTCCCAGATTCGATTCCGGTCAAGGGCATGTACCTTGGTTGCGAGCACATCCCCAGTGGGGGGTGTGCAGGAGGCAGCTGATCGATGACTCACTCTCATCGATGTTTCTAACTCTCTATCCCTCTCTCTTCCTCTCTGTAAAAAAAAATCAATAGAATATATATTTTTTAAAAAAAGAAAAAGTGTAGAAACAGAACACCATGGCAGAAAGTTCTATTGGGTAGCACTGCAATGGCCAGTCAGGTGGTGAGTACTAGAAACTCAGACAAATGTGAAATATAGACAAACCCAGAGACTCATCAATTAACTTAGCAGTCTTATATTATGTGCCCGCAACTTATAACAAAGAATCTGCCACAATTATTAAGAAGTTCTGTAGCTGTGTACTCTTGGACATATTATTTATTTTATGCTTTCATTTTCTTGCATATAAAAAAGAGAAACTAATGTGGTATTTATTTCTATCTCACTAAGGCAATGTGGTGATTCATGGTACCGTATTACTGAAGGGTATGACAAACTGACAAGATTCATCAAACCATGCAAAAAAAGACAGAAGATGATAAAATATTGCTTTTAGAAGTTATGGAAGTTGTCCTTTCAGATGTCATAAAAATGCCCCTCCACTTTGCACTAGAACAAACTGGGAGGACAAACAACTTAGTTCAGCTTTTAAAGATGGTTGATTCTCTTGGGCTTTTGTGTACACACACACACACACACACTTATAACAAATATGCAGGAATAAACGGAAGGTAATTCTTTCTGTACCAAACAGTTCATGAGTCACAGTATCCTTGATGAAGGAAATTAAAACTAAATGGTGTTAACAAAGCTAAACAGCAGATGATATCAAGGAATGTGGCTGGGTCAGCATTTCAATTGCTCATCAGCACACTCATCCATTCTCTGCATTCTCCATCCCACTACTCATGGAAATAGATTAAAAAAAATTCATTCCATAAGTCTGTGCTTTCTCAATACGGTTTCCAACAAATGGAGAGATTAACAGATGGTCATTATATTCAAAAAGGAGCCCTGGCTAGTGTGGCTCTGTTGGTTGGAGTGTCATCACATATGCCAAAAAGTTGTGGGTTCCATTCCTGGTCAGGGCACATATCTCCCCCCTACCCTTCTCTTCCCTCTAAAAATCAATGAGCATATCCTCTGTGAGGATTTTTTTTTTAAAGGGGGGGAAGGAATCATATTATATGTTTCTTTTGTACTTTCAAGTTGGTTTTATAACATAAAATATTCCGTATGTATGTTTTTTCCGTGTCAGAACATATAAGTATCTCATTCTTGAACAGATACACAGAATTTCATACACTAGACATCATATAATTTATTTTTTTAATCCTCACCTGAGGATATTTTTCTGTTGATTTTTAGAGAGTGGGAGAGGGAAAGACAGAGAGAAATATTGATATTAGGGAAACACATAGATTGGTTGCCTCCTACACCAGCCTGACCACGTACCTGCAACTGAAGTATGTGCCCTTGACTGGAATCAAACGTGGGACCCTTCAGTCCAAAGGCCGACACTCTATCCACTGAGCCAAACAGGCTAGGGCATATAATTTACTTATATAAACTCTTATTAAACATGGCCAATTTTTCACTATTATCAATATTATGAATGAATATCTTATTGCATCAATCTTTACAAGCTTTTAAGATTCCCTATGAGAAATTCCAGTAAGTAAAATAAATTGCTAGGTCAAAATGTACAAGCAAAATTCTGGCAGTTATTTTTAAATTTCTTCTGGATCATTTAATATAATTCACAACCCCACCAGTAACAGAATCTGTTTTTTCATACTCTCCCCAAACACTGCACATTTTAGTCTTTGCTAACCTGACTGGCTTTTCCACCCCTTTCCCCCCAAAATAGCACATAATTCAAATACTTTATTTCACTAAAAATGAACACCCTTTCCCTAAATAATTAGCCACTTAGTTTTCTTTTGCTATTCCTGTCTATGTCCTTTGTCCATCTTTCTATAGTTTTTTAAGTATTAGGGAAATTAGCCATTTTCCTTTCATACATCTTGAAAAATCTCCCACCTCAATCTGCTTTTGACTACTCAAGTTTCTGTTCTACAGAATTTTCCAACTTTTATGCAGATGCGTTTATCAATTTTGTGTTGGTTTGTTCAATGTCTTCAGCATTTTGTGGTTTCTGAAAGGAACCTGCCAGTGAACCTGTACTGTGCACCATGGCTTTTACAACAGTTTCCTATATTTTCTCCCAATTTAAAAAGGCCTTCTACATTATTTACCAAATTTCTCCATTTATAAGATTTGTTTTCTTCCATGGATTACTGTTTCCTAAATTCTTCCATGCTTTTATAACTAATCATTTCTTTTCCATTAAAAAAATACTCCCTTAAGTTGACTTAATTTCATTCTCCCTTCTATAGAGGTGGATGCGCCGTCTCCTGTACCTGGAAGTACAGAGACGGCACCCCCCTCCCCCCAGGGCAGGCTTCCGAGGGGGCTTGTGAGCTGTGCCTATCTGGGCTAAGACTTGGGATGAGTGAGAGCTGGCCCTGGCAAGGGAAGGAAGTCATTAAGGGCAGAGGAAATTATGTTTCACAAGGTAAAAAATTCATCTCTACACCAAAGTGTCAACACTGCCAAGTGGGATAGTGAGGACAGAAGTGTGTTGCTAATGAGTGTGAGCCCTGGCCACTAACAATCATGGGCAACTGAGAGTTATACACAGGTTAGACCATTCGTAAATATCCCATATTACCAGAAAAAACAGCACGACGGCAGCTCTCTATTAGGGATCCACATTAATTCTGTGCTGATAGATAATTAGCATCATTATAACACCTACAACTATTAAGCCACCTACTGAGCACTTATATGTCCCAAGCACAGCACCTCTCACAAAGGAACCAATCCCTCCCTCTGCCTGCCCAGTCCTTCCCTCATCCTAGGGGTATGTTTACTTTATGCCTAGGGTTATGGCAATAGAAAGGTCCGAGAAACCTTTGATGTATTATAACCACTAATGTATTCTAGAAAGGAAAAAAATCCAAAACTTTCAAATAAGCAACTGAAGGCCTAAAAAAAAATTCTGTCTCCTCCTTTATGTATTTCTGTACTTTGCAAATTTCTACAATACTCATATATTCTTTTCCAATCAGAAAAAAGGTATACAATCAATGAAAATTTCTCATGTTCACCCCCTGAGGATCACATCTACTATAAAAATCCTACCTAATAATAGAGCAATATGCAAATTAACCATCACTCCACTACACCCACAAGCCACGCCCACCAGCCCATTAGAGTGAGTATGCAAATTAACCCAACAAAGATGTTGGCAAATTTGCATATGCAGAAATAGGGAGGAGTGAAGACTGAGAACAGTACAGAAGGAAGAGGGGGGGGGAAAAGTGGAAAGCAAGGTGGCTGCGGAGCTGGTGGAAGGCAGAGGGCACAGTGGGTTGGGCAGGTGGGGCGGGGCACGCAGCAGTGGTGGCAGTGCACAGGCTGCCTCAGGGTCGGTGGTGGCTGTGGGCATGGTGGGGCAGGTGGGAAGGGAAGAATGTGCCCCGCCCATCCCCGCCCTGGCCACCACAGCGGGAGAGGTGAGGGGGCGGAGAGGTGGCAGTGGCGGGCTGGAAGTCTTGCAGGAATCTTCCTGCAACAGGTCACTAGCACATATTTAATACCCTTAAAGTACCTAGAGTTCTTAGGTCCCTGAGATAGGCTATATTCTTTGGGTTCCTTAAATATAAGGGGTTGAAATGAGCTCACCGTTTTTAGGTCACTGTGGGGAGTTTTACCCATCACTGATTTGGGCCCAGATTGTGGAAGAAGAATTAATGACTTTCTGGATATAGAAATAAGGCAGTGAGGCTTCTCAGGTAAGTGAGAGCACAGAGGTTCCTGGAGAAGAGAGAATAACAATCTCCTTGTTTAAGTGGAGGCTTAATTGTGAACACAGGAAGAATTACTAGCCATCAAATTTTTCTTCCTCAGCTTCAGGCAAATACTAGAAAGAGTGTAATGTTTATGGACAAATGCAATAGGGGAAAAACATGGTCCTCATCGGGATGGCTTTTTATGTTAGAATGTTTAGGATTTCAGAAAATACAGTAAAAACACTTCACAGGCAGGAATGAAGGTAAGTGAGTAGAAAATGGAAACCAAGTGCCATTTAATCTAACTTGTAAAATGGGAATACTGCTTACACGACTTGGTTACAGGGATTAAATAATATAAATATGAAAGCATCAAATACAGGCATTTAGCACATAATATACTTTAGTTTCCCTTTTCTTCATTATAATGAGTGATTTAGCACTTAAACTTACAAATGCATTAAACTGAACTAAATATATATATAACTATATATATATATATATATATATATATATATATATATAAACTGAACTATATATATATATATATATTTTTTTCACACACACACACACACACACACACACACAGTTCAGATCTGCAAGTGAATTTAAAAATTAGTATAGTCTAAGCACAACTCCTCTGTTTATTCACTTTTAAGACAGGTTAATAACACATGGCATTGTGGTAGGAAATAAATGGCAGATAATAAATGGAAAGCCTTTTATTGATATAAATTTTAAAAGTTACAATGATGAAGCATAGCCAGTGATATTGACTGAAAACCAAACATATTTTCTTAGCAGATACACTCAAGCAGCAGTAAGGGTGGTAAACTCTTATCTAAAGGTGGGGAGACCAGCTACCTGAAGAGCTTTTGTTCTGCTGAGTGAGATATACAAATGTGGCATCAGAACTGAATTCTTAAGACAATACATTTTTATGGACAGGCTATCATCACTGAAAACCAAAAGAATACTAGAGGGAAAGAACAGAAATATCTAGAAGACAATTTTTTGGATGTTGGTTGTGTCTTCTTCTTGAAATCTTCGATAGTGTCTAAATTTCTTGCTCATCCTTTAATCCTACTTCAGTTTGCTTAGTGCCTATATTTCTATTTACTGATAAAATGTAGTAATATATTCTTAAAACTTATTAATGAAGGTAATGCTGCATCATTCTTGAAAAAGTACTTAAAAAAGCAATATCCCATATGCTCATAAAATGTCTGCCTTTTTAATCCAATTTTAAAATAACTGGTTCCTAAACCAGCAGGCATCCTCACATTATGCTCCCCATCCCACCCTTACCCCTATTATAAACCAGTAACTGAATTCTTTCCAGTTTTGACTGGGAAGATGACTTCAACTTGTCAGTTCCCTATTGAGCAAGAGTGCTATTTTTGGTATCAGATAAATGAATAATCCAGAAAATTATATTCCAGTTAAAAGACCTGTAATTGTAAAATATTCGCCAGTACAATCCAAGGATTGTGTTGGAGTACTGCTTAAGTCACTTCTCCTCATCTCTTAAAGAAGCACACAAGTTAAAAGGCAGGTGAAAAAGTGGAGAAGAAAGTGGGTATTGTCTTAGGACTGGGGCCAAGGTGAGAGATGAGGAAAGGACAGTGTTGGTGAGAATACTGTGGTATAAGGAAGTCTCCCCACTGAACAACAAAAAAGTAGTGTTTAGATGTTTTTCAACCAATCTATCTACCAACTCTTACTTTTCACAAAATTATATAAAGACACATGCTTCCCTCTTAGTTGTGAAAGGAACTGTTATTATAATTAGTCTTTAATATCTAATTTTCCTTGAATTATTCAACTATTTTATATATATATATATATATATATATATATATATATATATTAGTGATTTTAGAGAGAAAATGAAAGGAAGAGAGTGATAGAAACATCAGTGATGAGAGAGTCATTGATGGGCTGCCTCCTGCACACCGCCTACTGGAGATCAAGCCTGCAACCTGGGCATGGGCCCTGACTGGGAATCAAACCCATGACCTCTTGGTTCATAGATTGATGCTCAACCACTGAGCCACGACTGCTGGGACTGTTAAACTGTTAAAACCTGTACATTCAGGTAGCCCATTAATGAAACTAAACAAACAAACAAACAAACAAAAAACATTTATATTTACAAGAACTTTGATATATATGATAACATTCAAGATCCATGTAAGCACAGGTAATTTGGGTAATTTATTGAAAAGAATCAGAGGTTAAACAAGGGTGTTTTTTTTTTAACTGTGCTGTAAATCTCCATATTTTATTTTCAAGTGATTTCCTAGAGTTAGTGAGTTTTTCATATAGAGTATGAAAGCAAAATCCAGAGTAGAAAACTTTCATAAATACTAAAAATATCTCACAACCAACCTCATCCCCGAAATTTGAGGCTTATTAGTAATCAGGGTAAATCCTTTCTCTTCTATAACTTGCAAGAATGTTTTATGTAGATAACTACATCCAGTGAGAGCTCATAAAAAATGATTTGGGCCAAAACCGGTTTGGCTCAGCTGTAGAGCGTCGGTCCCAGGTTCGATTCCGGTCAAGGGCATGTACCATGGTTGTGGGCACATCCCTAGTAGGGGGTGTGCAAGAGGCAGCTGGTCGATGTTTCTCTCTCATCTCTCTCTCCTTTCCTCTCTGTAAAAAAATCAATGAAATATATATATTAAAAAAAAAATGATTTGGCTTTTAGCACAATGGTCCTGGGTCTCAAGAGATTGCTTCATCCTAGCAGATATTTGGCATTGTTCTGGGAATGATGAAAACAAACTCCACTTCTTAAGGAAGACAGTTCAGAAATGGGAACAATGAAAAGTGACATGAAGCTGCCTGAGCAGACTCTTGAGCAGTCTTCTTGTCCCTGAACCCTAGACTTTCTTTTCTATTTCTCAACTTGGAATGGTTATGGTATTGGCTCTTTCTTTTTCTTGGTCAGAAAAAGAAAACCACTAGAACACACCTTTCTCCTGAAAATTCACTTTAAGGCTCAGATTTAGCAACAAAAAAATAAATAAACAATAATAATAATAAAAATTATTTTTAAAGGTTTATTGACTTTTATCATTCCTTCAACAATATGTCTGTGTGCTCCATGGCCACTGTGCAAAGTACTGGTGATCTGATTGAACAAAACCGGAATTCATGTCCTCATGAAACTGCACTGTGAATGCAGAGCTCCTCCTCTAACAAATAATATTACACATCATGCTCAGTACCAGATGGGACTGAGTACTGTGATTGGGAATAACAGGGGAAGAGATGGAAGTGTGACCCTACCTTAGTGAAGGTCAGGGAAAGCCTCACTAAGGAAGCAAGGTTAAAGTTAAGACAGAAAGACAAGATGCCAGTCAGGAAGTACAGTGTTCCAGGCAGAGGGAACAGCAAGGGGAAGAGCCCAAGGGTGAGACATTTTAATACAGTTAGACAATTTGCAAATGAATAGCTTGAGTTAATATTTGAGTGCTTTATACTAGACTTCATGCTAAGTATTGTAGTTTAATGCATCCTCTTACGTAATTGTTACCAGAAACCCTGCCATTTTCAAAATGAAATAAACAAGTGTAGGCAAAGTTAACTTGTTCAAAATCACATAGCAGTGATTCAATTTAATGCAGTATCAATTCAAAGCCTACATTTTTAACTCAGCCTTATAGCCAAAGTTAAATAAGTAACAGTCACATCACATGGGACTTTATATGCCATGGAAAGGAGCTTGGCTTTACTTTTTAATTAATTAATTACTTTTTTGAATTTTAAACTCAATGAGAAATCATTGAAAAGGTTTAAGCAAAACAATAATGTTATATGATTTACTTTTTTACAGTGGCTGTTGTGTGCTGGCCAGAGAGGATGGGGAGAAGTTGTATAGATTAAAAAAAAAAAAAAGAAAAGAAAAAAAGGAAACCAATAAGCCAAGAGAAAAGTGAAGGCAGTCTGGACTAGAAGTAGACAAATTCAAGATCTATTTTAGAGCAAATCAAATTAAACTTGCCAATTATTTGGATACATGAAATAATTCCCAGGCTTCTGGCTTACTAACAACCGATAAAAGGAAAATGATTCAGGATGAGACAGTTTGGGAAAGAGAGATATATCCATTCAATCATTCAACAAATCTTATAAATCTATCCTCTACTAGGTGAGGACATGGGAAGAGTACAAAACTGATAAAGTCTTGCCCTCACAGAGCTTACATATTTGGAGTGGAGGGCAGTTAGACATGTAAGCCATAGATGGAGATAATTGCCATGTAAGCCATTAAAGCAGGTAACCTGGGAAAGGAGGTGAGTATTTTAATTGAGTGGTCAAAAAGAGTTTCTCTAATGAGCAGAGACCTAAAGGAAACAAAGGCAGCCCTGACTATTTTGGGGAGAAGAGCTTCCAGCAGTGTGAATAAGACTGCAATGCCGCCAGGCAGGAGTGTTTTTTGTGTGTCTGAGGACTGGCAAGGAAGCCAGGTGGTATAACAGAGTAGGTAAGGGAAAAATAATACATCAGAGAACAGGCGATACAGAACTCGAATTAAGGACGTCAGCTTTTTTACTTTGAAATCCTGAAAGATTTCGAAGAGGAATGGAGGAGTGGCAGTACTCTGGTTGCAATATGGAAATAACACTGTAAGGAAGCAAAGGTGGAAGCAGAGGCTCATGAGGCATTGTTCCTTTGGTGGGTCAGCGTAGGTGGTGAAAGGGTCCAGCTTAGGGCAGCTTTTGAAGAGTGGATAGAATCTGTTGATGGGATTAGATGGGGTAGCATTAAGAGAGCAATCAAGGAAGACTGTTTTTTGTCCTGTACCAAAGAAGAATGAGGTTACCATTTACTGAGTTTGGCATGAGCATGGGAGGAACAGATTTATATTGGAAAATAACTCCAGTTTGCCAAGATAGATACTTATTACAAATTTAAATATAGAAGTTGGGCAGGCAGCTGTTTTCTAGATTCCAGAGAGGTCTGGTTTGGATCTAGTCTGGCAGTCTTCAGCGTATACATGGTATTTAAGTCATGAGAATGGATGCAGGAAAACATACAGATAGAAGATTCAGAACTGAACCCTTGAACAACTCCATCAGTTAGACATTCCCATCTCATAACTAGTATTCTTAAAATTAAAAAACTCCTTTAACTTTTATTTTTTTAAATATATATTTTATTGATTTTTTACAGAGAGGGAGGGAGAGAGATAGAGAGCTAGAAACGTCAATGAGAGAGAAACATTGACCAGCTGCCTCTTGCACACCCCCTACCGAGGATGTGCCCGCAACCCAGGTACATGCCCTTGACGGGAATCAAACCTGGGACCTTTCAGTCCTCAGACGGACGCTCTACCACTGAGCCAAACCGGTTTCGGCTGCTTTAACTTTTAAAGCTATCACTTATTAGGTCAGTTTCTAAAGTCATCAAACGGCAATGAACTAAAAAGATTATGTTCTACAAATCTCAAAACAGGAAGAAAAGAATCGAACTCCATTCACAGAGGAAAACTAGGAACTCAAAACATTTCCAAATATAAAGGTTGTACAAACTGGTGGTTAAATGCATGGTGTAAGAGTTCAGGATGTCTGGATCTTAATTCTGGCCCCTACACTCAACTATGTGACCTAGGGGAGGGCACTTACTATGCAGTTTACTCAGCAATAAATTGGGATAACAACTTCTTGGATTAAGCGAATTACTACCTGAACTTTTGCAATGAAAAAGCTAGCTTATCTTAGTGAAATAAAAGTTAGGAGAGAGACCCTTCAACTAAACACACCAATTCTTCAATTGCCTTAACCAAGGACCTGTAGCTCTGTTTTGATTTCAAAACTTGTTCCTAAATTTCTCTTAACTCATGCCTTAAAACAAAGCCAAAACACATGCCCAAACTCCGTAGTATCCAAAACAATCAGGGAGTAACTAGCTCCTCTCAGCTCACACAGAGTAATAAGCATGACTGATAACGAGGTCCAGCTGCGGCTCAGGCTTCCGGGGCTCGAATCCCTCCTTAACCACTTGCTTGCTTCTCTTTTGATCTCTTCTACCTAGAGGGTGAGTGTATTTCCAAAGACAGAAAAAGGTTAAATCAAGCTTTGAATGGGAGTGCAGCAAAGAGCTGAGACTACAACTCTCAGGCAGCAACAGGGGGAGACCTCTCCAGAGTCCCCGTCTCTCCAGAGCACAGAGGGGTCAGACCTCTCGGGTGGGTTAAGGGGAAACGGCGACCTTCCCTCATCCAGACCCCGACCCCGACCCCGTTCCCTGGGAGCAAAGCAGCTCCGTTCCCTCTCTTCCCCCTCCTCTCGAGGGAGTCCGGGGTCCAGACCTGGGGCCTCGGGCTCCAGCCTCCAGCGCGGAGCTGAGGAGCCACCCGGGGAAGAGACAATAGGGCCGTGGCGGCCGCCGTACCTCTCCCGGTCGCGGCCGTCGAAGTAGACGAAATCGCCGTTCTGAACGCACTTGGCGCAGGTCAGCCGCCGGCGGGTGGTGTTGCATAGCGGGCACCGCTCCACCGCCACGTACAGCCCCTCCGCGTCGTCCACCGAGTCCTCCAGGTCCCGGGCGAGCGGCCGGGGCCCGCCGCCGGGAGCCTCCGGCGCCCGGGCTCCCTTCCCACTGGGAGACGCCATGATAGCCTGAGAGCGAAGCCAGTCACGTGGGATTTTGTTTTCAACCAGATGCATCCTGGGCGAGGGGGCGGGGCCTGGGCGGCGCCGGGAGCCGTGGCCCCGCCCCCGGAGGGCCAGGCTGTGGCTTTTCCCGTCCGCTGAGGGGGCGGGGGTCCGAAGCCGAAGTTGTCGGCCAAACAAAATGTCATCTTGGCGGGGTCATGCCAAGGCTGGAGATTTAGGTCTCTTAACTTGTGCAAGTAGTAGTCATACGATGCCCCAAGGAGTCTGGGAAAACGGATTGGGAACAAAATAAGGGGCTTTATTGCGCTTGATGCTTTAAAATTTGGCTCAAAGAGAGTGAATAAGGTTGGTGAAGGGGCTGGGTCTTGAAATGAGGTTTGATTTTTGGCTCACCCACTTTCTTAATAGCTGTGTGATCTGGGGCAAATTCCCTAACCTCTTGGCTTGTGTTCTCATCTGTTTAATGGAGAAGTACCTACCTAATCAGCGTATCGTGAGAATTACTAAGCAAACACGTTTAATTAATAATCTGATATTTTACGGATAACAGCTAACCAGTGGAACCATAGAAGTCACTTTTATATCTTTCCGAAAAGATAATTTTAATTAAAAATAATGGCCAACATTCCTCCCCTAACTACTGGGTCCGGGCCACGCTCTGAGAAAGAATTTGAATATAATAGATAGAAAATTACCTAAATAGGATTACTCGCAGTTTCTTCAGGGAGGGGTAAATAAGGTGGGGCATAAGATTGTTCACAGTGTTTGAGTGTGCTTCTAAACTACAGAAGGGAAAAAGAAAAATGGGCTTAGGGGTCAGATGATCTAGACCAGTGATTCCCAAGGATTATTTTGGTAGGTTGTCAACTGATAACTGCTCTAAATTCTCTCTCTAGCAGCTACATCCTTCCCGTTCCACACCTAAAGATTCATAATTGCCCGCTAGGCAGCAAGGGATGTACCATGGCCACCAGCTCAGCATGTTGGACTTGAGCTCTCTCTCCTCACAAATCTGTTTCCTCCTCTTGAGAAAGACATACTTGGGGCTAGTACTACTTGGGGCTGAGTCATGTTAGCCTTTTCCCTCCCTGATAACCTCCACATCTTCATCAAATGCTGATGACTCCACAAACTGACTAGGTCTTGAATCTAAACCCTTTGCTCTATCCTCGTAGTCTTATCCAATCTGTTATAACACAATTCTATATAATAAAACCCTAATATGCAAATCAACCAAACAACAGAAAAACCAGCCCCTATGACACACACTGACCACTAGGGGGCAGATGCTCAATGCAGGAGCTGCTCCCTGGTAGTCTGTTCTCCCACAGGAGGAGCACCACTTAGCCAGAAGCCAGGCTCATGCCTGGCAAGCACAGCGGTGGTGGTGGTGGTGGTGGTGGTGGTGGTGGTGGTGGTGGCGGCGGCGGCGGCGGCCTCTCCTGCCTCCGTGGCAGTACTAAGAACCTCTTGGGGGATATCCGCCTGCCAGCTTCGGCCCACTCCCCTAAGCTAGCAGGTAGACACCTCCCAAGGGGTTCGGGACTGCAAGAGGGCACAGGCCGGGCTGATGACTGCCTACCCCCATTGCATGATTGTCATGCACCAGGCCTCTAGTAGGATTAAGGCATACAGAAAGCAAAAATTCCCCATGCTGTTTCAAAATAGAGCTTACACTAAATCTGAATAGTTCCTGAAAGTTTAAGATTTTTAAGTGAGAAAATTTTCTCTGATCATTTCAAACAAACAAACAAACAAACAAACAAACAAAAAAGTGATTTTTCTCAAGGTTTCAGACTTCCATGTTTTTTATATTCTGACAGGATCCTTCACAGTGCCTATACCTGATAGCTAGAATCATCTAATGAATATTTTAAAAGGCAAAAAACAGACACATTGATTTCTCTCCTGCTAGATATTACAGATAGTATCTATTTTATGCAGTTATTTGAGATTTCTATATATCACCATGCATTTTCAGAGGACATGTTATGCTCCACATCTTTAACCAGAGCAGAACATTAAATTTTAATGATGCTACAAATCATTCTAGCAAGGCCTTAAATCTTTCACATTCTGAAACAAGTTTACCATACGTTTTAAAAATAACATTCAAGAGTCATTTTGAATAAGAACCTTTCTTCATTTCACATGGAATCACCTTTTAATTGTAAAGTCAAAATGTGCATGGAACATCTACAATTAAAGGTAGAAAAATCCAGTTGTTTCTGTTCTGGGCTTATGCACATACTCATCAATATACTGTGAGATGCTGAGTGATATACTCAGGCTTTTTTAAAACCCTTTAGAATGGGATAGATGTTTTCAAATGCTTCATAGATCTCAGAACGGTCTTTGGCACCTGTAAAGAAATCCAAGTTTATATCATCTTTAAGAACAATTCCAAAATTTTCTTAAGACTAAAATTTCATTGTCATCTCCAATTACTTTTAATACGATGACATCTCTTTAGGTGTACCTTAGAAGTGGCATTTATTTCTGGTAAAGGCAAAAGATTTTTTTGTTTGTTTTCATGAATTTATATCTCAGTTTTCTCAAAATCTACTAAAAGATTCATCTGTTACAGCAAAAATTCTTGGATTAGCCCTAACCAGTTTGTCTCAATGGATAGAGCATCGGCCTGTGTATTGAAAGGTCCCAGATTCAATTCCGGTCAAGGACATGTACCCCGGTTGTGGGCACATCCCCAGTAGGAGGTGTGGAGGAGGCAGCTGATCAATGTTTCTCATCAATAGATGAAAAACATTGTTAGAAAACTTTCTATCCCTCTCCCTTTCTCTCTGCAAAAAATCAATAAAATAAAATAAAAATTCTTGGATTGAATCTCAAGGATAAAAGAATTTAGTGATTACATCCACATTTCCACAAACGCACACCATAGACCAGAGTTTTCTAGTACTTCCACTATGTGGGCATATCAGATCATCTTTAGCCACAAAGGACTCACAATGGAATATGGAATGTTATCTCTAAGTGTGCATGAATATAACCCCAGAACAGGACCTTCATCAGTATCTGTAGGCATTTAGCTACCAGCAAAAAAATTTTCCTTTGATCCACTTACCCTAGTTAACATTTTGATTCTCTAATGTTGAATAAGGGAGTGAGACAAACTGGAGCAAAAGTTTTAAATGTATGTATGTAAACTTATTAGAGGGAAAAATTGTACCACTATTACCCCTCAGAGTATTAATTTCCAGAGATTTTTTTTTAATTTCTAGAGATCTTTAGTGATAACAAACTGCTCTAGGAGTTAAAGAGATAAAATAAAAATTAATTAGATCCCTTGAGAGAGATCATTCAATCCCTATTCATCTCTCACCACCACCTACCACCTCTCACTACTTCCACTTTCAAAGCACATTGCGCTAAGGGTTATGGCCTGGTATTACTTATGTATATGGAGCTGTCAGTTAATCAGGAAATTATCTAGTATTATTGTGGGAAAAAGGCAAGGATATTAATGAAAGGAATATAAAAACTTAGCAGGAAGAGAATGGAAAATAGCTTAAGTTGATAAAGGATTCCTTGGGAGCTAAAAGGTTGAGAGGAGGAAAGCTCAGTAAGAGAACAGAAATAACCTGTGAGAAGTGACAACCTGGTTTAATAACAGGACTAATCACAGGGAATTACCAAAAGGAGGATCATCAGATTTGAGAAACAAGTAGAAATCAGGATTCAGAACCAAAGATGAGCTATCATTTTAAAAATGGCAACTGTTGGTAAGGTTATGGAGAAATAGGAGCCCTCAGATATTGCTGATGGGACTGTCAAATAGGTGCAGCCTCTATAGAAAAGTTTGGCGTTTCCTCAAAAAAAAGTTAAAATAAGAATTAGCACATGATCTGGAAATTCCACTTCTTGGTAATACCCCCAAATTAAAAACAGGTACTCAATAACACATTATAGATGCCTGCTGATTGCAGCACTATTCAAAACAGCCAAGAAGGGAAACAACCTAAGTGTATATCAACAGATGACTGGATATAAAACTGTGGTATACATATATAACTGAATATTATTCAGCCATAAAAAGGAATCAAGTACTGATACAGTCTACAATGTACATGAATCTCAAAAACTACCCGAGGGCCCTAAACTGTTTGGCTCAGTGGATAGAGCGTCGGCCTGTGGATTGAAAGGTCCCAGGTTCGATTCCAGTCAAGGGCATGTACCTTGGTTGTGGGCACATCCCCAGTAGGAGGCAGCTGATTGATGTTTTTCTCTCATCGATGTTTCTAACTCTCTATCCCTTCCTTTCTGTAAAAAAAAAAAAAAAAAAAAAAATCAATAAAATATGTTTAAAAAAAAAACACAAAACTACCTGAGGAAAGTCAGACTCAAAAGGTTACATATTGTATGGTTCTGTTTATATATAGTAGCCAGAAAAGATAATTCCAGAAACAGAATGCACATTCGTGGTTATCGGGCTAGTGGGAGGGAGGAATAGGGAGAAACTACTTAATGAAAGGGACTTTACTTTGAAGTAATGGAAATGTTTTGGAACTAGACAGAAGTGGTGGTTGTACAACATTATGAATGAACTAAATGTCACTGAATTGTTCACTTTAAGATGGTTAATTTTGTTATGTGAATTCTACTTCAATAAATTCTTTAAAATGTTTTTAAAGAATCAAAGATGAAGTTTTTACTAGCTTAAGTTATTTGAGAGATAAGGGGGGAAAGTTACTTACTCATTACCAAGGAGTTTACTGTCAGTCTCCACCCTCAAGCATGTGGGGAGAGAAGAGGGTGAGTTGTTGACACAAATAACAGAAACTCTGAACCTCTGTGGTGGGAGAAACCCTGTCAGTCTCAGCAGATTTTTGTTACAATGCTAAAAGTTTAGTTTCTAAAGAGAATGGTTTTGTAGACATGAAAGAGTGGGTTGGAGAAGAAATAAAACACCAGTGTATATATATTATAAAGAAAAAAAACAAACAAACACAAAACAAAAACTCCCTGCCTCTGGTTTGATGGACGTTTGGGGCTTCTGAACACA